TTTCATTTTTCATAGATAGCGTAATTTGATAGCTTAAGTAAAAGATTTCATGTACATTTCCCCCCAAAAAAGAGGAAATGATACTCTGGATATGAAAGACGTTATCTTCTAAAATCACAACTCACAAGCATCCTTGTAGATGTTGATATACATAGAGTTAGAAAAACACTTCTGTTGCTTTGAAACTTGCACTGAACTTCAGGAATGTGATTGTTTGAAGTTGCAAAAAATAACCGACCGTTATACACGAGAATATTTGAGCCCTAGAATATATCACTAAAATGTCGAGAATGCCCCTTAACTCGAACTGCTTTAGCAAGAGTTTCAGGTGACAATTTTCCATCTTGTGATTCGTCGATCACATTATGTACGCTTTAAACCAAACATATTCAATTCGATCAATTCAATCTATCGAAAAAAAAACGAAGGCATAAGCAACCGATTCAAGAAAGCAAAATTCTGCAGAGCACATGTCGAAACCGTTAACTTCTTCACTCAAACTCACTTATCTATGAAAAGTATAATCTCATCAAGAAAAACTCAACATGTACGCAAGCAGCTACATACGAAATCATGTATATATTCATATAACTCATTCAGTTAGAAAAGGTACAGTATGTCGAACACCAGTCTTACACTACACTCATCATCAACCTACAAGACAAACTCTCTAAAAGCATTTTCCACCCTTCTCATGAGGTAAAAGCAAAAATGCCAAAGGTGCAAGAAAAAGAGAGATTCGAACGCAAAGAACAAAATAGATCAAACACCCAATTCAAATCCAGAGGACAAAAAGTCTTGTTCTTGAGCTAATCAATAATGAAAGGGCTAATACCTCCCGTCCTCAACGAGCCTGCGATTTCATCAGCAATGTTCAAACAGGAAATAACCCAGCTGCACAGGGCCATCCACACCATCCTTGCAAGACAAAGGGTCATGCTCCAAGGCATTGCCATGAGTCCCACACCAACAATCCCCCAGTACACTNACAAAGGCTCAAACAGACATTTGATCGAACACCTGAAAAGCACTATTTTCCTTGTGAATTATGAGATCTCCCAATCATCTGCCCGCCTTCACGGATCATCAAAAGATGAAAACTTTTGGGTTGGTTTTCGATGATTTCAAGATCGAAACTTTTTTTCTTGAAAAGGAATCAGTCAACAACTAAAAGCTCAGAAAAAAACAAATTTCAAGATTGCAGCTTACTACACTTGTTTGCCAAAAGAAAATTCATACGGGTCTTGACTGAGATGGGTGTGTTTCATCTGCAGCAAAAGGAGGGAATTGAGGGTTTTGGCCTTTTGGGAATTTGCCTATAAAAACTTACTTTATACTTTCCGAAATATCGCATTTGTGTCCCCATGGAGTTTGCAAAACCATACAAGCACCCAACACCTGGGACTTGGGACAATGACTAAGCTAAATAACGTGTTGATAATTCATAAATTAACCTGTTAGATATTTATTTAACAAGACAAGATGTTTATTTTATGACACATATCAATACACTATTTATGATAATTGTAATTTTTAATATAACCATGAAAGTGATAGCTCCATTGCAAAGCTCTATCTTTTTAATACACACTTTATTTCGTAGTTTTGTTTTTATTATTGTATTGTATTTCCATTAGTTTTATTTAGTATTGCATATCCATTATTTTTTTTTTTCAAAATAAAAACAAGTGTAATTTGTTAAAAGAAGGAAAAGAAAAAATAAATAAATAAGGAATTATTATATCCACATGTAAATTCATTTTTATTTGAGCATTTACCAAGTTTTATTTTTAAAATACCAATATAATAATTTTTACTATTTATAAATGAATGATTTGTGGCTTAGTTTTGTAACTGAGTTCTAAAATGAACTACTTTTTATTTAGTTATTAATCATTTAAAAATAATTTATTTATGATTCTATTTTGTGGTTTTATTTTTTAAGAGTTTTGTATAATATTAACATATAGAAAAGCCCAAGTAAATAAGACATATTCAACCCAATAGGCCTAGTTACTATACGAAGTTGAATCTGAAATTAGGCCCATTTGTTTTGTTATCTTTCCCGCCCTTCAAAACCTTCAGATTTCATTTCAAAGTTCAAACAAACACACACACACACACACACACTACAGACTCTCTCTCCTCTCTCTAAAAATGGCACCACCTTTCGTCTTCCCTCAATCCCTCACCTCGCTGGAGGAAGACGAAAGCGCGTCAAGCTACACTCGCCTCACCGTCCAAAACCCAGTTCCGGTATCCTCCCTCCGCCCCCCGGAGCTCGAAGAATTCGTGAAAGGTCAGTTATTTTCTACCCTCCATCGATTCCTAATTCAGAATTGCCCCCAAATTCAGTTTAAATTTTCACATCATTTTTTTTTTCGAAAACAGCGGTTTCGTTCGATCTTTCGGACAAGGAACTGTTCTGCGTGGAGGAGCAGGAGGTTTTCGACCGCGTGTATTCTCTGGTCAAGGGCTTCGCGAGCCTCAACCCCAGCTGCAAGTTCAATCTGGTGGAGTCCTTGAGGTCTAATTTCAGTGTCCTCTTGCCAAATGTCGAGTCACTGTCTCGGTCTCGGGCGCCCCTTTTGCGGGAGGAGGAGCAGGATGAGGGTGATGACTGTGGTGGTGAACAGCTGGGGGCAGATAGACTCGGGTCCCATCGGAATGCATTTAAGATTTACTCGTTTTTCCTCGTGCACGTTATTCTAGCCGAGGAATCGGGCATCAGTTCTTCCAGCAATGCAACCAAGGTAGCATGGCTAGGACAATTGTTTTATTTAGATTGTCTTTTGCCCCAATTAATGAGTATGAAATCTTGACTAATAAACTTGAGGTGGGTTCACCTGTTGACAATGCTCTTGCCGAATAGATGTGCAATATCACTGATTGATTATGAAATACCTTTTCTTATTCTGATGGGTTAGGTTTTATAGATTCATCATTTAGATGTGTTAGTTCTTTGGGAAGAATAGGCAAACCATAGCCGTAGCTCTAAGTGTTTGCTTCTCATAGAGTGGTAGGTCGTATTTGATTTACGGCAGCAGGCATTACTAACCTTGTTTAATTGCCTAGGTGCCTGCTTCTAGTAGGAGCAAAAAGCTTGTGAATTCATGGAATTGGGAGCCTCAGAGGGGCAGAATATTGAATTTAATTGCCAACTCTCTTGAGATCAACCTCTCTTTGCTCTTTGGTTCATCTGATCCAGATGAAAATTACTTATCCTTCATTATGAAGTAAGTTGAGTTGAAAGTAGTTACTGTGTTTCAGAACTTACCTATATTGAGGATGGCTATATCTGACTTGAACCCTGGCTTGTTGTAGAAATGCATTTCTGATGTTTGAGAATGCATCACTGCTTAAGGACTCTGATGCAAAAGATGCTTTGTGCCGTATAATTGGGAGTTGTGCTACTAAGTATCACTATATAGCACACTCATGTGCTTCCATTCTTCACCTGATTCATAAATACGATTTTGCTGTTACCCACTTGGCCGATGCTGTTGCTGGAGCTAAAAAGAAATACGCTGATGGAAGCATGGCAATTTCCCTTATTCGTGAGATTGGAAGGACTAACCCAAAAGACTACATTAAAGACACTGTTGGAGCTGAAAATATTGGGCGATTTCTTGTTGAGCTTTCTGATAGATTGCCAAAGCTGCTTTCGACAAACATTGGCTTATTGGTGCCACATTTTGGTGGAGAATCTTACAAAATAAGGAATGCGCTTGTTTCAGTGTTAGGTAAGTTAATAGCGAAGGCCTTTAATGATGTTGAGGGTGAAGTTAGCTCCAAATCAATTCGTCTTCGTACAAAACAGGCAATGCTGGAAATTTTGTTGGAAAGGTGTCGAGATGTATCAGCTTATACTAGGAGTCGGGTTCTTCAGGTGTGGGCTGAATTATGTGAAGAGCATTCTATCTCGATTGGTCTGTGGAATGAGGTTGCAACAGTAGCTTCCGGAAGGTTAGAAGACAAGAGTGCTATAGTCAGAAAATCGGCACTTAATTTACTCATCATGATGTTGCAGCACAACCCTTTCGGGCCTCAACTTAAAGCAGCTTCTTTTGAGGCAACCTTAGAACAGTACAAGAAGAAGTTGAATGATCTTGCGCCAAAATGTCCGCCTGAAAGATCAGATGAGCTCCAGCCAGATTACGATGTTTCTCATGGAGATATTAAGGTTGAAGATGATAAAGAAGTTGGAGGTGAAGCCAAGAATCAAGATAGTTTGACAGATAGCTGCGCAGCTGACGTGACAGATGGAACACATCAGATGGATAGTTCAGTACCGGATTTTGGGAATGTGGAGCAAACACGGACCTTGGTTGCTTCGCTGGAAGCTGGCTTGAGATTCTCGAATTGTATGTCAGCCACAATGCCAACCCTTGTTCAGTTAATGGCTTCTTCATCTTCAAGTGATGTGGAGAATACTATTCTTTTGCTCATGAGATGCAAACAGTTCCAAATTGATGGCTCAGAAGAATGTCTACGCAAGATGCTGCCTTTGGTAATTATCTCCTTATGATCATCATTATGATTTCTGAAGCCTGATATAGTTTTTCTTTTCACGTGACCTCCAGTCCTTTCAGCTCCTCTTTTGAACTATGTTTTATTATTATTACTTTTTATGAGGGGAATCCGATTTTTTTTTTCTTAACAGGTGTTTTCTCAAGATAAATCGATTTATCAGGCTGTTGAAGATGCTTTCATCACAATATATATAAGGAAGAACTCAGTGGAAACTGCAAAAAATCTTTTGAATCTTGCCATAGAATCAAATATTGGAGATCTTGCAGCCCTGGAATTCGTCCTTGGAGCATTGGTATCCAAAGGAGACATAACTCCGGGCATGGTAGAGTTACTTCTTTTACATTTGAAATCCAATATTTTGTAACTTAGTAAATGATACTATTGTTTCAAGGATAGATTGCATCTGAAGCATCTCCTTTTGGATTATTCTATCGATCATAATGGAGTCAGTTATGTGCTTTGGAATTCAGATCTAAAATTATCCCTTTTTTTGGGTTATAATTGCAAAATGCATTTCTTTTGCCATTCCCTTAAGAGCAATATATGTCTGTGACACTTGTCTTTCTTATCCAGTTGTCAGCACTATGGGATTTCTTTTGTTTCAATATTAATGGGACTACTGCTCAACAAAGTCGTGGTGCTTTATCAGTGCTATGCATGGCAGCAAAATCCTCACCCAATATCCTCAGCTCTCACTTACAAGACATTGTTGACATTGGATTTGGTCGTTGGGCAAAAATGGAACCACTGCTTGCTCGAACAGCATGCTTAGTACTATATAGGCTTTCTGAAGAAGATAAGAAAAAATTGTTGTCAACAAATGGAAATCGTGTTTTTGATATTTTAGAAAGCTTAGTGTCTGGTTTTTCTCTTCCAGAAAATATCTGGTATGCCGCTGCAGATAGAGCCATAACTGCTCTTTACAATATTCATCCTACTCCCGAAACAATAGCCGCAAATATTGTAAAAAAATCCCTCAGGTCTGTATTTGATCCCAGTGAAGGAAGTGATTTGCAAACCGACTTAGTTTCTGACAGCTCCAATGTCCTGACAACAGTTCAAGTTGCCAAAATCAGCAGATACATATTTGTGGTTAGTCATGTTGCCATGAATCAGTTGGTCTATATCGAGTCTTGTATTCGTAAGGTTCAGAAATTGAGAGCGAAGAAAGAGAAAATGGCTGCTGAGGGCAAGTCACATGACGTGGATTCACCATCTGATGCACCAAAGGTTAGCAATACTGTTTCATGATGGCGATGATAATGCTCTACTTGCATTACTTGTTTGAAAGCTTAATTCTAATTGTTCTGGTAATCTTTTGAAGGATGCTGGCATCAATTCAGAATTAGGCCTCGCAGCCTCTGAGGATGCAGTGCTTGATAGTCTAGCTGAACGGACAGAGAAGGAAATAGTTTTTGGTGGTAGCAATGGAAAGAACTTGATTGGGCACTGTGCGCCTTTTTTGTCTAAATTATGCAGAAATTTCAGTTTAATGCAGAAGGTAATTGCTCTTATCCACTTTTTTTGAAATCAAAATATGAAAATGTAGAGTGGCTTAAACTACGGTATTATTATTACTATCATTGTTTTTTTAACTGAAATGACCTTTTTCTCCTGTTTTAGCATCCTGGACTGCAGGCAGCTGGAATGCTTGCTTTATGCCGTTTAATGATTATTGACGCTGATTTCTGGTATTAAAAAGACTGATATACTCATTTGCATGTTTGCCTTAAGAAACATAGCACGGTTCTCTTATTATCATCTGCACTTCATTTCTCAGTGAGTCAAATCTTCAACTACTTTTCACTGTTGTGGAGAATGCACCTTCAGAGACCGTCCGTTCAAATTGCACAATAGCTCTTGGAGATTTGGCTGTTCGTTTTCCAAATTTGTTAGAGCCTTGGACTGAAAACATGTATGCACGCCTTCGGGATCAGTCAGTGTCTGTCAGGAAAAATGCAGTTTTGGTTCTTTCTCATCTTATATTGAACGACATGATGAAGGTTTGACCAACCGTCCCTTGTTCTTTTTACTAGTTGCAGATGCTTGGTATTTTGATTTTGACTCTGAAATATTTAGGTGAAAGGCTACATTAATGAAATGGCCGTGCGACTAGAAGATGAAGATGAAAGGATTTCAAACTTAGCCAAACTATTTTTTCATGAGCTATCGAAAAAAGGTGGATTTGTCGTTTTCTCCTGTTTTATATGATTTTCTTTGTTTGCATTTGTGTATTGGACAATATGATCGATGACTTTTGATTTCATTTTAGGGAACAACCCTATATATAATCTACTTCCGGACATACTTGGAAAATTATCCTGCCAAAATCTGAATGGAGAGACATTCTGCAACATTATGCAATTTCTAATTGGCTCTATCAAGAAGGTACTACAGGCTATATTTGGTCTTTTATCATGCTATTTGCTTTTCATGAATAAGTGGACTGAACCTGACTATTCTTTCCAGGATAAACAAATGGAATCTCTTGTTGAAAAGTTATGCAATAGGTTTACTGGTGTCTCAGGTATTAAATATTATTGCTTATCAGTTCAGTTTTGGTGGGATTCTCTTATGCTTCTCACTTGCGTTCTTTTACTTAAATTCATTTTTATGCAGATATCAAGCAATGGGAGTATATTTCTTACTGCCTTTCTCAGCTATCATTCACTGAGAAGAGTATTAAGAAGCTTATGGAGTCATTTAAGGCATATGAACATGTCCTATCTGAGGAAGTTGTGATGGACCATTTTAAGAATATAATTAATAAGGTAATGACTTGTAGCTGGTGTCTCATCTCTTTAATAAGGTAATGACAGTATATTTACCTACATATTTGCATTTTTTTTCGTGCCGTGTTCTTCCAGGCAAAGAAATTTGCAAAGCCAGAACTAAAATCAATCATCGAGGAATTTGAGGAAAAGATCAATAAGTTCCATAGTGAGAAGAAGGAACAAAAGCTAACTGAAAAGAATGCACAAGCACATCAACAAAAAGTTGGCACCTTAGGTAATAACTTCATGCCAATCAAGAAAGATGTTGAAGACAGTGGTGAATCTGAAATCACCGAAGGTAGTATTAGACTAATTACGAAAAGACCTACTTATCTTTGTCAATTTACATTCACCTTGATATTCATTTTTGGTTTCAAGATTTGTTATTATTTCACTTACTGGAAATTTTATTGTGGTGTCCCATTTCAAGATTCGATAGTAAAAGAAGAAGCTGATGACTCAACTGATGATGCTGAAAGCTTACATTCAAGATCAAGAGCGGCTAAATCAAGAACAACACGTTCGGTTGCTTCTAGTGAGATAACCGAGTTGGAAATGAATGACGATGAGGTCCAATCGCCTCTTGTTAATCTAAAAGGTCAAACAAACGTGGAGAATTCCAAATATGGTTATGAGAGTATTCTGAAATAGATGCTAATATAATGTTGCTAATTACAGGTGCTTCTAAATCTAGAATAAAGAAAAGCAGCACAAGGTCTCAGAATGTTGCAGACAACTCTACTAGAAAAAGCACAAGGGCAAAGAGGAGGTATACGTGAACTAAATGGTTGTTTTTTTTCAGTTATATCTCCAAATTTTGAATAACTCATCAGACCCTGTGAACTAAGAAGGATTGTGAAATGCAGGTAAGCCAAGACGTGAAAGCTTTTGTTTTACAAAAGAATGTTCAATTTCATGCAATCCATTTGTGTAGAGATGGAGCAGTTTGGTTTGACAATTTGGCAGATTTAATGGATCTTTGTTGTATAACTTGTGACTAGTGAAAATGGTTGTGTATGGATTGATGGTGCATTTGGCATGTAAAGCCATGTTCAGCTCGAATGTGGTAAAAGCCATTTAGTGAGTGAATTTTTCACTTTAATTTTTTTTTTTATTTCCTTATTATGAACACCATATCTTATAAAAAGTGCGTAACTCGTGTGATGCACGGTGAATAATATTTATGATTGTATTATAATTTTAAATATATAAATAACAATAATCATGATATAACCATTGTTTTCAAAATTGGATTGGACCTAATAATCTAACCGAGTGGATTGCGAACCGATTTATCGATCATTCGGTTTGCATGAACAAAATGTTTGTTTCTAAATTGATAAAACACCAGTCGCTTGAACTGGTAGGATTTAAATGCTTTTTAAATAAATTTTGTAATATTTAAAATTACTTTTAATATGAATAAAAAATACATATTAAAGTAAAATAAATATTAATTAATATTAATAAATTAAATCTTGGTCCAACACATATTGTATTATATAAATAACTTGATCAGTTCGATGATGGTTTGGTTTTGAAAACTTTGATTGTAATGCAATATCATTTAGTTTACATAACTCTTAATAAAATGATATATAAATATTCATAAATCATTGAACATATTTTCATAAAAATTATGCTTAGACCTTGGATTACATTAAATTGATCGTAATAAAGTATTTTTAATATTAAAGTTATATTAGTTTCAATAATCAATTTAGTCTGACAAAATTGACCCGTGACCAATGATCAACTTTAGTTGTGTCATGGTTTTTGATTGTTTTAATTATCACATAAAAGTATAGTTTTTAAACCCGGCCCGGTGATCGACCCGGGCAGGTCCTCGGGTCACGGACAGTAACCTATTTCAATCACCCGATTGATCTAAATAAATTTTCTTATTTTTCCTTAAATATATTAATTTTATAAAATAATTCATGTAACAAATGTTGATAATAAATAAAAATATATTAAGATGGTAGATTATATATGTATAGATAAATGAATTATTTCTTACTTTATGCATATAAAACTTGTGCTTTTGAAGAAAGAGTAATTCCGATAAAATATACAATGCTAAAAAGAACAAAAGAGAAAAAAAAAATCTACATAATTTTCGTTTTTAGTATCTAGTATATTTACTAAAATTAATAACTAAGTTTGAAAAATAAGTTCAATTTGTAATTTAAGTCGTAGATTGAATTATAGTTTTTTGGTATTTATTTTACACACTTTGCAAAAAAGAATATTATCTTACTAAAAAAACAAATTTGATATAAATTTAATGGTATTTATTAATATTTATTTTGTCAAAATTATGCATTAAACTATTGTTTTTCAGAAGAAAAGACAAGTGTGTTTGTCAACAGAAGACCCCGATAAATTTTCAATACAGGACTAATAGATTTTGCCAATAGATATAGGTTTAAGTTTCGATTTTTTAGTTCCTAAAGTTATATTTCAATTTTTTAGTTCCTAATTTTTTTATTGAACTTGATTACAAATTTTTTTCACTAACATTAGTATATGTTCCACGATTAATCTATACTATGCTATAGCTAATAAAATTTTCTGAAAAAAATAAAAATAAAATTTCAATCCAATGATCCAATCACCTTGAAATATTAAAATCACACTTTGAAAATCAAATAAAATACAAACCAAAAAATATGTTTCTCTGAATAATTCTCATAGAATGCATTTTTTATTTTTTTTTTTCCAACTCTTGACTGCAAATTTGTTCACAGGACTCAGTAAAATATGTTGATAGTTGATACATACTAGTGTATACCCCGTGCGATGCACGGAAACAATATTAAATTAATAATATTATAAATAGACCTCGAGTTTGAGTCACTCAATGACGGAAGTGGAAACTACTATTGTTCCTATTTAAAAAGAGGAAGCAAAAAAAATAATTATAAATTAAAGAGGAGGATAAACAATACTTAATACTTATAAATTAAAGATTCGGGGTCAAACAATGTAAAATTATTTTGTATAAGAAAATATAAAAAAATTTGATTACACACCATTTCAAAATTATTATTATACTTTTTTGTATGGTTAGTTTATAATATTTGTAAAAATATTAGTAATTAGACCGATGAAAATTAGCTTCTTAAAGTAGATAATGGATTTCCAGTAGTAATTATGAATTGATTTCTATTTTATTTTATTTTTTCTTTTTAAAAATAATGAATTTCTAGTAGTAATTATGAATTGGTTTCTATTTTATTTTATTTTTTTAAATCTGTATAGATAAGGGATGAGATTTTTTAAACACGTGAGATCGTATGCAATGGGATTTTGTAACAGAAGAGATAAGCGTGTAGATTTATACTAAAAATAGGAAAAAGAAAAACAAATATTTATTGTCAAGGAGCGCTGTGATAAACTAAAAAAATGAGCCGATTTTTTTGTCTATTTAGATTTGTCCAACAATTACTATATTAGGATATATTTAATGATTTTGGCGGGAAAAAGTTTCTAAATTTGTAAAAAGGTTATTCTTTTTATATAATGATAGATTATTATGATAATTTCTGGTTAAGACCTAATTAATGGAAAAGAAATCATTAAGACATGGACAAGTCTTTTGCTTGTACAGTTGTATTTCTAACTAAATCCTGCAAACTAAAATCACCATTACACTATTACCCGGTAAACATCGACAAAAAGTATCCTTCCTTCAGCTTAAATTATAAAAAAGATCTCGAAAGTTATTTACATTAACCTCTATCCGAACCAAACGACCAGCCCTGGAACAACAAAATCACAAGAAAAGTGAAAATTAGATGGGACAATAATATCGGTGTTTGAGAATACTATCAAGAGGGAGAAGATTAGAAGAATCACACAATTCACACATTGAACTTTAGTGTCAAAATTAAATAGCGAAAATATATATATGTATTATATTTGGAAGTCACAGACAGACAGACAAACCTTATTATTATTATTATTATTATTATTATTATTATTATTATTATTATTATTATTATTATTTTTCCCCATATTTTACAGACTGGGTACTGTTTTCTAGTTTATGTAATTTATTCTAATCCAAAACAACAAAGCTAACACAATGTAAAAAAAGAGTACTACTGGAGAAGTACCCATTTCAGGATTTACTTCAATTACTGGCAAAATCTTCATAACTAAACTCCCCTGATACGGAGTTCATCCTCCTCATGCCTGCTTGAAAGAAAAAAAAAATTATCAACATTTATTGCCATCCTTACACCGCAAACTATGTGGAACCCGAAAGATACGCTACCTTGCTGTTCTCCCACAATATGAGTGTCCATGAAGTTTGCATCCGTTCCTAAAAACGGAGATCGAGGATAGCTCTCCAGAATATCTGATAATATCCAGTGAAACAATGTAAAGGTCCTTTAAATTTTTTTATACTTTCACTTGTTTGATTAAACATTTCTAGAGAGATAGATTAGCCAACGATTACCGTTAGAAAAACCAGCAGTCAAGTCTGATAAACTAAAGTTTCGAGACATCTGTCCCAAAATCCCAAACGAATTTGTCTCAGTTTCGAAAATCTCGTTCAATGCTCGAGAACTCGTCTCCCCACCATTAAAGGAGCTCGAGGCATCCCTAATCGGTTTATGAGATTCTAAAAGATTATTCTCAGCTCCAAACACGAGAGGTGAGTGTGAATCACTTGTGTAGCCACATTCTGCCTTTACCGGCCCAACATCTGATTCTTGCATCAACACCGCATTCGGGCCTTGGCCCGATATCATATTGACCGCAACATGCATGGGCTGTTGTATTTGGTGTTGTGACCCATTTGAGTAGACATCAGGAATGGAGTTGATGACTTGTTGCTGATGCAAATTTTCTGGCTTTATTGATGGTACAACAGAAGGTTGTGGGGCCCGGTAAGCCGTGTTGTTGTGCACTGAAAAAAAAATGAACATCTTATAAAACTGAAAATTCATACAAAAAAAGGTACCTAGCTCGAGTAAGATTGAAAAAAGAAGCTTACTTGGGTTAATATGTGACCCATTTGAGTGAGAAACCGAAAAGACTTCAGGTTGAGTTATTTGGCGCATAAGCTGAGCCTGTCTCTCGAGCAACTGATTGAATTGCAATATCTGCTCCTTCACTAATAGTCTCAGATGATATGCTCGGAAAAAATCCTGATTTTCGGCTTCAAGCTTTTGCCACACTGTACGGAGGTTCAGGTGTTATTTGAGCTATTTGGAATGTAAAGATTTTAATCTGATGGAAAATACTCGAAATAGCAGATTTCGCTAAAGCCCCTAAGCATGACGAGAGCAGAATTGGACAAAAAACAGATTTGACCGATTGAAATAAAATTACCGAGTTCTGTGAAACCAGGCTCGATTTTTGCCTGGTGCAATAAGGTATTCATGACTTCCCTCTGGCTCATGTAAAGCTGAAGGCACCTCTCGATAAGATTTTGAACCTTATAACAAGTAGAGAATGAAGTGAAGTTTAGCTATAACAGAAGAAGTTACAAAAGAACTACCAAGTTTCTTACAAGATTCATATAAATGGAAAAAATAAAAAGAAAAAACAACAGGGAAAAGAACAATTTAGAAAGAATTTTTCTTGCACTACTACGAATTTTCATACAAATGCGCCCACAATTAAAAAAATCATCCATTTCCAATTCTAGACTCATCACGTGCGTTTAAATTTAATTTAGAACACATATCTACATCATCCCGAATGGAGGGGGAAAAAGAAAATTAACAGAAAAAAACAAACCAGACAAGAAAGCTCACCAGCTGTATATCCTGTAGGGAGACTTTTCTAACATCTCCATTAGACATTTTTGCAAGCTCCTCAGCAAGATAGATATGAACTTTGCAGGTCAATTTATCATGTCACAACAGCTGTATCATCTGAATACTCAGCCCAATAGCCTGAAAAATTATTGTTCATCAACAAAATTTCGGTGACTAACCATAACAGAACCAAGCAGACAGGAAAAGAAAAACTCGGAAAAATTAGAACGAGTGACCGCAAATTTCGACAAAATAATAAGTTATTTTCTTCTTTTACCAGCAGCAGTCTCAAACTTATAACTCTTCAATTTTTTTGGACAAAATACACAGCATCAGCCTTATTCTCCCCCCTTTATACCCTTATTACATTTACTTTCTCTTAAGCACAAATAAATATATGAAGCTCCCCACAATAGAAATTTTTAAGAAACTTCTCTGAGCAAAACTAGACACGTAACATGCAATTTCTGTTAATGTCATGCTATAACTAAAATAAATACCCATGTCTCCTTCAAAGCCACGGTTTTGGACNAAACCAAAATTCCACATATCACGAACAAGACCCAACATAAAAATTCATCTTTGAACAAACAGGATCAAAATTCAGGACAGCGCTTCAAACCCTAGCAACGGTCACGCCCAAAACTAAAGAACCCAGAAAATAGCATAGCAAACCAAAAGGGATCACGACAGAATAAAGGGAAAAGAAAACACACTCGCGTATTCACGCAGCTGTAAATGACAAGAGTTAATGGAGCAAAATCAATGAACAGAAAGCTAACATAAATGTCGTTGAATTTAACATCTTTGTACACCTAAAAATCCGAGCTTTTTTCACTGGGCTGCGAGATTATAAAAGAGATTACCGAATTTTTTTCCTCTCTTTTTTCTTGGAGAGATACAAAAGGGATGGGTTTCACTTTCAGCTAAATTGGTTCGCGTAATCGCGGTAGCATTTGTAACTTCGATGTTTTCTCAATTCCAGGCAAATATTGTCTGTTACAGAGTAAACGTACAAGTTTTTATAGGAAACTCACAATGCATTTATTCAGCGTTGGTTTGGTACCTAGAGAAATTCCCTGGTGTTATCCATTAACAGAAAGTAATAATGCCAGACGAAATTTTCTATTGCCCAATAGGAGTACTACTTTTGATTGGATAGGTACAAGTGGCCAAGGGCCCGCCACTTTGGAGCTGCTGTTTAATTTGATTATAGAAGCCATCATAAGGCTGCGAACAATCTAAAATAAATTTATATTTTATTTTTCCTATTTTTTCTGATTATTAATTAGTATTTATTGTTCATTAGTAAAAGGTTATTTAATTATGTAATTAGGGTAAAATGAAAATTAAATTTAAACTTTTACTCAGTTTGCATTGTAATCTCAACATTTTAATTTTGACAATAAAAGACACGAATTTTTTATTTTTGAAAAACGAACCACGTAGCCAACGGGCACTGAATGCTAGTACCTATCTCATTATATGGGTCTCCCAAATAAGAAAAGTAAAAAAAAAAATTATGGTTGTAAAAAGTAAAATTATGGTTGTAACTAGTATTCTTATTTCACACACCTAAAACCACAGAACTTCATTGTTTTTGTTGTGTACAACCCATTCTCTTATTGGTGTGACAATTGAATATGTTGACAATTACTTTCGATTAACATGCACGAGCCACTCGAGAATTTAGTAATTTTAAAAAAAAACAATTAAATATTACACGTTCAATAGTCTCAAATTTTTTTTAAGAGATGGGGTCGTTTACCTTTTATATTTATTTATTTATTTATTTATTTTGTATGTCGTTTTTCCTCAATTCACGTCAACTGATATGTCAGTTACGTATGTCCCTAGCAGTCAGTTTGTTGATCGCCTCCGCATGTACAAAAAAAATAAATCCATGTTATTTATTATTAAAATTAAAATATTGATATTAAATTGCAAATGAAATAAATGTTTGAAATTTATGCAATATAACCTTTGAATTGAAGATAAATTGAAAAAATATATAATCCACCTTTAAGATTGTTTTGGCTTGCTAACAAAGCGTGTTGTCAAAATTTCATGATTATTTAAATCATAGACCAGCCCTATAGTTGCACGTTCTTTGATCTTCTTCATGTTTATCCATAAGCAATACTATTTCAAGGTACAATTAAATTGATGGTAGGATCTTAGTCCAGTAATATTTCTTACCCCGACTTTGAATATAATAATTCAATTGTGATACTTTTTAGGTCATAAGAGAATCAAAATTTGTTCATGGGATTAATTCCTTCTATGACATGTCTTTGTCATAAATAGTCAAGACTCGAAAAAATAAATATTGCAAAATCCCCTCATGAAATTAAGATATGAGTATAGTATATAGTGCTGTTNGATGGACGAATTTTATTGGTTTAATGCAATCACAGAAGATCACATTGACTTTGAAATGCCGCGTAAAGTTTATCGGCGTTATACTTCGTATCGATATCATTGTATTTTTATTATGTGCACATTGACTTCAATAACTAAAAAATAATTTCAATGATAATGAGATGTTTATCCGACTCTTAATACGGCAAATGGGACCCAAAGGTTAGTGGGATCTCAACTATATATTTTAAGTTTCCATGATAGCATTTTTCGAGTCAATTAGTGTTAATTGATTGAATTTTCGTTTTCCAATACCATTTGATGGATAATCGAATAATTTACCACTAAAATGTGAACCAATAACAACAATTTGATACATTTAATAAAATTTAAAAACATGCATACATATTTATCAATCATATAAAACATTAGGGGTGGCAAATTGTGTTTTCGGGTGTCGAGCTCGTGTTTTCATATTATTTATTTTATTTAATCATAATTATGTCAATATATATAATAATTTTTTTATTTTGTCTTTCGTATCATGTTCATGTTGAGTCATGTCCTTCACAAAATGGCAATGTCTTTATAACTATATTTTTTAATAATACAATATATGGCATTCTTATTTCGTATTCGTATGTATTAATCATTGTCACCCTTATGAAAAATTCTAGACAAACGTTTGCTTCGTTTTTGAAATCTAAAATTTACTTCGAACGGGGAAGAAAGGATATCTCATTAGTCCCGAAATTATATTTTAAAAAATTTAACTATTCGTAATAATTAAAAAAAAATGAAATGAAATGAAAGAGAGATAACTAATTGAGGAGAACAATGATTAAGGGATGAATAAGTCATGGGCCTAGGCCCAAATAGCCTAAACGATTGCAGCTCTTGTGGACTTATTGAACTGGATTTTCGAGGCCCAATATAGATTACAAGAATGGGTTTTTTTTATGTTATTTATTTGAATATGTCGAAGTTCAAATAACAACTGTTTACAAGACACGGTGCTATATTATTATTTGTTTGGACTCAACAAAGTCGAGTAGCTTATATTCTAACTCGAGCTCGTTTAATAAACGAGAGAAAAACTACTCGTTTAAGCTTATTAAAGTTGGTCTCGATTCGTCTCATTTAATAAACTAAATCTTAATTAAGTTGTTTCCAAACATAAATGTCCGTTTGTGAACAAGTATAGACTACAGTTTTGCTATGTAGTCATCGGATGGCTCGGTTTATGGAGCCATCCATAGTTTTCCACAAAAAGTGTATTGACACGTGTCCTGTAATAAATACACATTAAACACATGTCAATACATAAAGGTATGGATGGCTCCATAAACTTTGTGGTATAGACTATCACATTTAAAACCTATAAAAATAATAATAAAAGCCTTACCTCCAAGAAAGTGCTAAGTACGTACTATTTTCCTATTACGTGGGAGACAAATGAAATAAAATAAAATAAAAATCCTTAAATAAGTAGATGCCTGTATGTTGTGTTTAGTCACCTTGTGTCAGTGTGTCACATTTCTTCTTGTTCACATCTCCTATCCAAACTCGTGAATCAATTTTGCCCATGCAAATTACAGAGTATAGTTAACTATTTTTCAGCATCATCACATTTTATCTTTGACCAATGTTGTCGCGAAAAAAAAAAAAAGGTAAATTAATTTTTTAATAACAATAAGTTGCAACTCACCCCTAGGGTTTGGCCTAATTACACCCATAATATAAATAAATATATATATTCTGAAAAAATGTTCTAACAAAAATGGGAAGAGGGGTGTAAAATAATTTGCATTTATAATTTGAAAAAAGCAAATAATTTGAGAAGACGATGAAGGTTCTTTGAAAATGAGGCCAAACCGTAAATAATTGAAACCACATTCCATGTGCTGCAAATTTGTTATTGTTTTTCAGACAGCTAAATTTCCAGGCAGCACACACCAAGAAAACTAGATTTGTTCACATGAAAATCTAAAAAGATCATAAACCATTTTAATTCTTTCTTTTTTCCATCATATAATTTCCCCTAATTTAGTAAAATACAAAATTGGGTCTAAGCTTGAATTGTGTACAATACATCAAGTCCACCACTAAAAGATGAAAAAGAAAACCCCTTCCTCAAACACAACCCCTGTTTTCTTAATCACTGTACATATAAAAGGATCCTAAAAAAGCTTCAAATTATGAACCAAAAATACTAAAAAGATTAAAACTTTATTTTTGGGAGTGGTTAATTGGACATGACAGTGCAGCCATTGTTGTATCTGGGCCTGGCCTTGTCTGGTGAAGGCCCATCATCATCCATTGATTTCCTCTTGTTGCTATTATTATTATTATTATTATTATTGGACAGTGGCATTTGTGTTAGAGACCCTAATTTGGTCTCAGATGATACTTTATTCTCTTGCTTTTCTTCCTCTTTTTCAGGCTTTTGAATATCCTTGCAGCATTTGGCTTTCATCATGTGGGGCCTTAGCTTATTCACATCTGATAACCTCACTGGCTTCAGAAAAAACTCCTCTGCCCCTTCTTCTAAGCATCTGAAAAAAAATATAACATTGGATCAATGGCCAAAAATTAAGAAGATAAAAAAGTAAATTAGTAACTTTTGGTCACATCTAAAGTGATTGGTATTTGAAGAAATTGTGCCTTGGTTTGTAGCCTAAGTGCCAAAAAATTAACTTGTTATGTAACATTAGAATTTAGAACTAATTAATATATAGTCAAAATATTATCAGATTGAAATACTTTTTCAACATATAAGTATAGTTTCAAATTGAAGTATTGTACTCTACAGCACAACATAGACAAAATTATAATATACTGTAATTAGTATACAAGATTTTGTGATTAGTATACCCTCATTCAGATATCTAACTTTTCTAAGATTTTCATTTTTATGATACAAATAAGTAACCAAGGAAATTGACTTGAATGAACCCTAAAAAATTACCTGTTTATTCTTGAGGGAACATTTTCAGATGACATGATGACAACTGGTATGTCTCTCAGAAATGTGGATTCCTGTCAAAATTAAAAGGAAGATGGAATATAAAATAAAACTGATTTTCAAGGTTTGGTGCATAATAAACTAACAATAGAGTAAATTAAAATTAAACTTAACTTGTCTACACAATTTGTTATTATTAATAATACTATTTTTTTGTATTTGAAAATTAGTAAATGTCCCATCAAAGTCATGCTACATGTATTAGGTGGGGTGGGGAAGAAAGATTTGCAAGAGATTCATGTTGATCTACTTATTGATTCTCAAAGAGAAGGACTACAAATATTTAAGTGTACTGAAGAGATTGGACCATATATGTTACATTACTTTACATAAAGTCAATAACCAAACAACTTTTGCAAAAATTACTGATCTTGTTGTTAAAATAGTAGTAATTACCTAAATCAATATAATGACAGGTAATTTGACTGAATTCAAGAATTGTCTATTTTAAACATTACAAAAAAAAAATACTAATAATAACTGTTATTCAGAGGAGAAAATACAGAACAGAGCAGAAAAAAAAAAATAATACCTTCATTTTCTTGAGCAAATCATATCCTGTCATTCCAGGCATGCAATAGTCTGTAATAACAAGATTTACTTCCACCACCTGTAAATAAAATAAATTTTATAAGCAAGAAAAAAAAAACAAAAATAAAATAACAGAGTGGCAATTAAAGAAAAAAATACCTGATGATTTTTGGGGGAATCAAAAGCATTTGAGTTGCCACTCTCATCTTTAGACCAACCAAGAAACTCTAAAGCTTTGTTACCAGAATCAACTGTGGTAACTGCAAAAATCAAACTTAACAAATTACCAAAAGAAGACAAATAAATATTATTATTTGGGGAAAAATAAAAACAATAAATAAATATATGTAAATATACCTTGATAAGAAGAGGTCTTAAGAAGCCTCTCAATCAATTTCCTATCAATCAAGCTATCATCCACAGCCAACACATGAAACTGAGCCTCTGCAGCTGCCATTCCCATTTTGTTGCACCAATTTATTTTTTTATTTATCTAAATAATTTTTGTTCAGAAGAACAAAAAGGTTTGCTCCTTTTGTTAGCTAGTAAGTTTTTATTTTATTTTTTTTTTCTGACAAATTGTTGAGGAAGATAAGAATGAATAAATGAGATGTGTATGTGTGTGTCTGAATTAATAAAGTCCTAACAAAATCCACACACACAAAAACAAGATCTGACCAGATTTCAATCTAAAGATTTTCCCCTCAAATTGAAGAAAAGAAAAAAAAAAGATTTAACTTTTTTTCAACTTGGGAGTTGAACTACAAGGCAGATAATACAAATATCAAAAAACAGAAAATTTGAGGGGAACAAAAATAAAGAAG